ATAGCTTTGAAGTTGTAGATAATTTCGTCTATCTTGGAACCAGCGTAAACACCACCAACAATGTCAGCCTAGAAATCCAACGCAGGATAACTCTTGTCAAAAAGGTGCTACTTCGGACTGAGTAGGCAATTGAGAAGCAAAGTCCTCTCTCGACAAACAAAAACCAAACTTTATAAGTCACTCATAATACCCGCCCTGCTATATGGTGCAGAGGCTTGGACGATGTCAACAACTGATGAGTCGACGTTGCGAGTTTTCGAGAGAAAAGTTCTGCGAAAGATTTATGGTCCTTTGCGGTGGGCCACGGCAAATATCGCATTCGATGGAACGATGAGCTGTACGAGATATACGACGACATTGACACAGTTGTCCGGACAAACAAAGTGTTTTCCCAATTCAACCCAGTTTTGATACACTAAAATATTCTTATCAGGAAATATTATCTCTGAATTTCCCATACAAAGACCGATGTTTTCGGTGAAGAGTCAACTATAGCAACAGGGGTTCGCATACTCGGTACCGAGGTGCTTGAACAGCTGTGCTTCGATTTGGACAATTTTTGGTATTAAGTTGTCATAATGGAAGGTGAAAGAATCAAAACTGTGTTATATGGAAAGTAGGCTTAGTGTTATATACAAATATTAAGGTAATGCCGTGCACAGAATTTGATTGAAATGGGTCGAGAAAGTCGCGAGGGCGGTGCCACGCCTATGGTCCAAATTTGACCCTGGTTCTTATAGAGAGGGCGGAGCCACGCCCACTTTTTCAAAATTTTTAGCTCACAAGCTTCTCTTCCCACTTTGATCCTTTGTGTCAAATAACATTTCTATATCTAAATTTAGTGTTTATTTTTCGCACTGTATAGGTTTTCCTTTAATATCGTTTTGTGGGTGTGGTAGTGGTCTGATTAGTCTCTATGTTGGATATGAACCCCATGTATAAAGTTCGCAAACATTAGTGATTTTGTTCTAGAAGCACCGTATTATTAGCAATGTAAATTACTGTAGATCCGAGTTTATATATGTATAATATTTGGAAAAACAACACAGTTCGGTAACAAAGCAATTACCGACCGTAAAGCTCCTCTCGAGGATCGTTAATTTAATTCCACAAATGGAAAATTCAACACAACTACGACCGTTTGGTGCGGAAGATCGGGCCCTATTGCTTTCAATACGAAGCAGTAAAAGCTATAATCCATATCTAGCTTTATAACACATACTGACCGTTTTTTTCGCGGAATTTGATGAAATTGACATTAACGGTCTCTACCCCACAGAATGATGCGCCACCATATGCTTCTCGCTTAAACATGGACTTATTGCGTACAAACTGTGGCGACTCGTTAATTTCGAGAAATAACCCAGTCAACTGGCCGCCATGGTTATGAGATTTAACCCCTCTAGATTTTTTTCTCAGGAGGTATATTAAATCATAGGTTTATTTCAATCAACCAGCAGCGCTCGAGGAGCTAGAAGACAACATTCAACGCACTATAGCCGAAATGATGCACCAGGTCATCAAAAATTGGCGTAAACGATATGCAAACTAGGCAACTTGATCCACATTTTATTCAAATCATAAGTGTCATAAAATTCTACATAACAATAAAAATTAAACCAATTTAGACCGGATCTCAATGTTTTATTTCATTTTAATAACAATTTATTGGTAGGTCCAATATAAATGCCCACAGCATGGCGGACTGGATCGATTTAGCCGATATGTTTGTGCGACAGTATATAAGCGAACAAGACTCTTTAGATATCAATGTAAAATTTTGCACGTGTCCTGCTCACATTGGACCACTACACAAACTCACTAAGCGAAAGTAAAGTTCTTGTAAAGAACATTTTGTATTTGTGAAGGGTATTATTGCTTTGGTACGACCAAAGCTAACATTAGTTTTCTTTAAAATTACTTTCTAACTGTTCTTACGCCACGAAAACAAATGCTTATCACAAACACGTATATTTTTGTAACCGGCGAACTCATTTATCAAATAATTTTCTATATTTTTCTTCCCTGGCACCTAAATCAACACGTTTTCTTTTTTCTAGCCGCTTATTTACAAAGGAATAGTTATTAGTAAATTGTCAACACTTTTCCTGAAAATGACAAGTGTGGTTAGCATGCGTACGCCTCCCTTTAGCATACTTCCACAACAGTACAGTACCCCCTCACCATCTTCTTGGGCAGTGCTACGCAATTATCACTCCGGCTGACAGGAAGACGATGCCGTTGAGTGTAAACTAGCAGACCGACAGGAGCATAATCATCAAAAATGCTTTAGCAGTTTGAGTAGGGTAAAGCGGATGGTGGGGGAGGCATTGAAAGGTAGTTACTAAACAGCAGTCTTGTAACTGTCACTCATTTATGAGTGACGTAAACATTCTTTGCATGACAGCAGAATTCACAGCTTGACAAACCTGTATGCCAAAACTGCTCCCACCCCTGCAGCTGTTCGTGAGTGTGGCTTCCTTTGCATATGTATTCCATCCTTTCGCTTATCATGCCGAAACACATACTTCCTGGTTGCCACAATCAGTCAGTCAACACTTATGCAACTATATAGAATTCAATTGGAATGTGAAATTAGTATTTTCTTCTTGAATTGCTCTTTCCGTGCTCTTCATTTTTATTGCAAGCGAACATCTCAGCAAGCTCCAAATATGTATTGATGTACGCCTGTACGTAACTACGTTCTTTAAATATTAAATTTAATTTTAGTTTTACGGATACTTTTACTGTTTGTCTTTGGCACTCATTCATCTTTAGAATCAGATTAGGTTTTGTGGCAGGAAATTGGGTAACTACCATAGATTCGTTGTCATAATCCTTGCATTTGAAAGTAGTGTCACCAAGCCAAAAGGTAGAACGTAGTAATGTGATTATATAATCAGCAAAAACTTTAACTGATTCCGAAGTCAACGCACATTTCTATACTCAACGCATTTTTATATATTTATTATACTTATATGGATCACTAACTTAAAGCTTTACGTAAACTTTAAGAACATGGTTTTATTAACTACATACCTGTAGGCAGTCAATCCAATAATATGCAAACAATATTTATTTTGTCGCCTTCAAAGTATTTCCCTCCAGATTTAGTACACTTTTACCAACGATTTGTCCAGTCCTCGCAACACTTTCCATAAGCACTGTGCGGCATGGCCCTCAGCTCCGACAGCAAATTTTGGTTTATCTCTTCGATCCAATGATGCAGGTTCCACGGCAATTTCAGTTTACGGAACAAGGCATGGAAGAAGGAACAATCACACGGAGCCAACGCTGGTAAATACAGTGGTTGATCGATGGTATTCATTGCGCTTCTGGCTTTAAAATGGGTCACTATTGTCTTTTTTTTTTTTGGAAAAAGATCAGATTTCTCGGTACGAGTCGAGCAAGAACGCGTTCCATACCCATAATATCCTTCTAAATCATTCGAACCGACTCGCGAAAGATGTCGGAGCTTTCTTGCTATCTCTCTAACACTTGCCTGACGAATTTCAATCACCATATGCTCAATTTTATAATATTTTCATCAGTTAAGGGGTTATAAGTGTTCCCCGTATAAAAAACAGTATTTTTTCAACTCATATAAAATAAAATAAATATTTTATAAGAAATTTTTATTGCTACAAAAATAATATACAATATTAATAAAGAAATTCTGAAATTTTTGGAAAAATATATTTCAGACTTGTTCCGACGCCATTTCCGGGGACATCTCGAAAAAAAGATGCGTCCGCGCTGGCAGGATAACTCCTTACAAGATCAAGGGAAATGATACGTGTTTCAGATAAAATCTTAACTTAGGACTTGGACGAAGGAAAAAACCTGAAAATTGTATTTTTGGCAGATATTAAAAAAAATAAAAAAAATTTCATTGAAAATTTCGCGATTTTTTGTTTTTTTTTTTTTCAAATAGTTGTCATCGGCAGAAAATTCGTTTTCCAAGTATTTAAGAATTGCATCTCAAAAATCTGTGTAAAATTTCATGAAAATCGGTAGAATAGTTCTCAAGAAAATTTGGCAACCGGCTTCAAAAATACAGTTTCGAGAAAACGGCGAGTTTAGCCTAGCTAGCCTCGAGCGCAGAAGTTCTCAAGGCTGTATCTGGGAAGCCATTACTTAGATTAACATGAAAATGTAGCACCTTATTCTAGAGGTTATAAATAATTTAATAAGACAATAAAAAAGACGATTTTCAGAAATCCGCAAACCCATGTAACCCTTTAAAGTTGTCGAAGTTCGTCCAAAACAAGGTATGTTTTCAATGATCTCTCGGCCGTCTTGCACGGCTTTGTACCACTTGTAGGCTTATGTTTTTGAACCATCGTAAGATTTTAGGTAAACCGACTAAAGCAACTGCTGTAAACTAACTGGTTGCCATTGGTTGCCATTGGCTCCAGCAACTTTTCCTAATTGTTTACAGAAAATTAGTTTTAACATTTTTTGATTTTGCTATGTTATCGAAGAGTTGGAAGATAGCAATTATTGTATCACTCTTGCTGAAATTGTTATTCTTTTACGATACGAACTTGTGTGGTAGTAATAATCTCATGACATTTTGTGTTTTGAAGAACCTTATACCGTCTGTATTGAGCACATTATGTTTGTATATTTTTTCTCTTTGCTAAATTATCAGAAATTCCTAATCCGTCAATTTGAATTTGAAGTTATACTACAAGTATTTGATTTTATGCCTACCATACATTGTCTGTGAGGTTTATAGTATATATGTAATAGTAGTAAATCTATGAAATTCACAATAAATATATACATTATAAGATAAAATATGATTATGTATTAAGCTTAGCTATGAAAGCAAAATCATATTTAAACCTCTTATTCTTTCCAACTTCGCCTAGAATTGTTGATTAAAAGAGCTTAACTTTAAACGATAGCTTTTACAATTGTCTAATGAGAATATTTCTCTTTCGCAGATATACAAAGCTCGCATTGGAAATAGGGTAAGTTCGCTATAACAATTTTGCAATATCGATTGCATTAATGCCAATTTCAAAATGAACTTCACGAAAAGTTACTGGAAACTACAGCAGCCGCAATTAATGAGATCTTACTTGTAATCATCCTTTCGTGCACGACTTTTGGGAAGAAACTTGCTCCACAGCTGCTTCTGCTCTCCTCCGTCTGAGAGTTGTGTGTAAGGACCAGCAGAGAATAGCAAGGAGACGAGGGAGAATATGACGCAAACTTTTAATTGCTCGAAATTGATTCAACTATCATCGAACACTTGGAAATGTGTGAGCATTTGCGGCGCAAACTATTTGATGTTTGTGTTTCGCAAAGAGTGATGTTCGCACAGCGGCTGGACACAACTTGGGGCGTGCAAATAGAAATGCTTAAAAAACTGCAATTAAGTTGGGCTTTGCGTTGCAACGAAGCAGAAGGAAAAATTTCCAGTTGGCCTAGAAAAATGTGCCATACATTAAATAACGCGCCTTACACACACACATACACAGCGCTTCGCCATGCCGGAGCATAGGTTGCCAATCACTTACGTGAGGGCACGGCGCACAGCTGCGGTCGCGGCTCACAATCAACGTAGCTGCACACATTCGCGTTTAATTCGCCATCAGCGCTCGATGAACGTATATATAATATAATATATATGTATGTTTGTGTGAGTGATGGTATATTTTTCCGTACAGTTTTGTGTGTGTATGTGTGTGTGTGTAAATAAAAACACATGCCACTAATCAAAAGGATTGCCACCAAGCCACTTACTGTGGGCTGCGCATGATTGCGCACTTTATTCGAAAAGCGTGAAGCATACTTTTCGGCGCGTAAACAGCTTTTGTACTTGATTAAGTTGAGAGTCGCACAGGAGAGTTATTTTGTTATTTCTTCGCTGATTTTTGGCGGTCTTTATCATCCCTGTCAGCTTCGAATGCTGTGAATAGCGTGTAACTTTGTAAATTGGAAAATTGATGGTCTGCACATTTTTCTTTATTTATTTCACTGTAACCGTACCGCTGTTTTCCTTTTCACTTGCTTTTCCACTGAGAGCCAGTTAAGATTAATGAAGTAAGTTAATATTCATAATGAAATTAAAACCAAAAATCATGTCAGAACCTCGCATTATGAAAAAGTCGTGGATTTACTTAAAAACAAGACTATTCGCCATGCCCAGATACCGCTGGTTCTCAGAAAACCGACTCCAATCCATCCATTACCAATAGGGTTTTTTTCGCTATTTCCCCTGTACGTCATCAGAAGTTGAAACATCTTGGATCGCTTGTTGATGCATGAAATTTAACTGTATGAGTTTTCATTCTTCACAAAGATAATCTCGACGACCAGTCCTGGGGCCATCAAGCCAGCATATAAAGTTCTATAAATGGGGTCGCATAATTTCAGTGAACCACATGTTCTTCATAGAAGCTACAACATTATTTGTCGGTAATGTCCCCTGTTGGTAATGTTCTTTTAGGCGTAGAACTATCGAACGAAAAAAATACTATGCTGGGGAGAACATATTGACTGCATTGCAGGAAGCAACAAATTCATTGACCGTCTAGCGAAGAGGGAAGCTGCAATAATGGATATCTGCAGAGCCTATACTATTATATTTCACACTACATTTAGTAACGCAATCAGGCAATAACTAGACTATCAGTTAGTAACTGGTTACCCACTCATATAGGAATAGAAGGAAACAAAAAGGCAGACGAGTTGGCCCCCCGAGAAACGGCCAGGAACAAAATTTCTCTAAATTGCCCTAGACCATGCAGCTCTTTCAAGGATTGTTTGAAGCAATGGACCTTAGAGGAAAACTATCCCCTCTTGGAACATTAACAACGCAGAGCATATCACAAAATTAGTTTAAGCTGGTGTTGCTGGTAGGCAGACCTTTCAGGGAAAAAGGAACTTAAGTTTCTCGTTTCAAAAAATTGGAAAAAGGGATTCGAGGGCATGAAGAGCATGCGCGGTTGATGATGAGACGCTGGAATATTATCTTTGCGAATAGCCAGCCTTCAGCCAGTCGAGATGGGATATCTTTTTCGACTTCCAATGTTCTAACTTATGATACATTCGGGATGCGGAAAATTCAGGTTTTCTATCAAATTCACTGAGTATCAGGATAATGATGACATAAAAGCTATTACCTATGATCTGGCGCTTCTGTAGCTCCCTTTTTAACGAAGCAATCATAAAAATTGCATGCTCTCAATTGTAAGGATTAGTGTGCTGATACAATGCCAATGGTTCAAATGAATCCAACTGAATGCAGAAATAAACAATTATTTTTGGTTGAGTCACAGACTTTTCCGATTCGGGTAAAAAAAAACTTCGCCGATTCCTTTTTACAAGACATGTGCTTTGGGTTTTCTGTTTAACTGAAACTGTCATTAGCTAGCCCACTCTTCGAGACGTGCTTGGCTAGGCTAGAACAACTAATGCATCGAATTAGAACGGATGGAATGTAATGAGGTGTTATCGTTTTGTCGCTTGTATTCCAGTTTGTCATTGATCAACTCTTCGTCACTCCCTTAGAGCATCTTAAATCTGTTCGAAATTAATCTGTATACAAACATAAGCATAAGCAAATATAAGCTATAAGGTAAAAACAGACAGATAGATATTCTTAAGATAAATAGTTTGGGTTTTGCTAGAATTCTAGTAAGTTGCATAAAAGAGCGTGTATACTTCATTAGAACCATGTCGAGCTTCTGGTTTTTTAAATACAAGTATTGCCACCACAATTTTTCTATACTGAAAGCTTCTATGGCAATATTTTTTCTAATCAAAATAAATCTAAACGAATCTGCATAATTTATAAGCCCAAAGTTTTTTAACCTCAAAATGGACGTTTGTCTGTTTATAAATTATGAAAAAGAAGAACCTTTAAAATTCCTTCTTCCTTTAAAAAGTAGTCCCAACCCTTCTTATTTTAAGCCTTTCACACGATTTATGGCCAAATTTTCGGCAACAAAGTTAATTGGATTTTGTTACTGTTATAAGCGCATAGCTTTTGGCAGTGCCGGAGAATGATGACAAGAGCGTTTAATATTTTACGATAAAACCACACTAATACACTGCACATCGAAATATTATATAAATAAGCACCCATGTTTTTAATATGCTCACACATAAGCATAAGCGGCAAATGCATTGCATACTTACAGGCGCTCGAACAGCGAGTACTCACAGTTATGGCGCTGGGAAAGTTTACGATTTTTTAATTGCATTTGGACAAATTCATGGAATTTTGTATTTTACGGCGCCCGAAAGTGTGCAACAACCAAACTGGTGCGGCATGCAACGGTAGCAGGCATTTAATTGCCCGGCAAAACTCACCAAGCCCTGCATTTAGTCAGCGAAAGTGGGCGACATAAACAACAACAACAACGCTCACTTCAACTCACATACACATACATTTACACACTCACAAACAAGCGCCTGCTTCCCTAACACATTTGTGTCACAGCAAATTTGCTGAATATTGCAACATTTCTGTAATTACGCTCTTGCTGTTGTCGTGCTTGCGTAAATTTGTTCGGCGAATTTGCGCAAATTTGGTGAATGTGCGCCAACAAAACAACCCTACAACAAAACAAACGACAAAGCGACAATGCGCTCAGGTGCCGTAATAAAGCATCCACGCTAACGGTTGAGTGCGAATCGTAAACAAAGCGTGCTGCAAAGGGCGCCCAGACTGTACCACAGCAACAACAACAACAACAACAACAACACGTGTTGTGATTTTGGCGCGAGTTAGACAAAGGAAAGCGCGCAAAAAGCGCAGTGAAATTTATATCCACCGGAATTTAGTGCACACTTTTTGTAGGATACATTGTGCCAGGGCTTACAGCTGCCTTAATTCGACCGATTTGTTAGTTTTGATGCGACACTTTGTTTAAATGTTTCATATTTTAGTGGATGTGTGCCTTTTGTTTAGCTATAATGCTTGCAGCAGCTGCCTAGACCCGATTTTATAGCAAAGTAAAACACACAAAATTATCAAAGTTTATAGCGAGCTGCCACGAAACCGTTATTCTTATGTGAATCCAATAGTCCATAATATCGGTGTAAGAGAGTAAAAAGTACGTGAGTGAACAGCACATTTTTGAAGAATACTGTGGCCAGAACTACATTGTGGCAGAGCAAGTTTATAAGATCTTTGCAACACTATATTCTCACAACTTTTGTTTTGTAGTATTTAGTGAAAACCAAAGGGAAAATATAATAGTTTTGCATTTTCGTTAATCGCCAAATGAAAGTTTTTGACAGCTAAAGATCAGTATAATCATTCATTTGTGCGGCAACCGCCTTGAAATTGTATAAAATTTGTTTAACAAAGCGAAGTTAATGGATGTGCCACTGGTTTTAACGAGAAAATGCTCAAAATCACACTGCGAGTGAAACAACGTTTACTTAATAATTTACTATTACTTAATAATATTGCCTGAACTTTAAAAAGAGGTGGCTGATTTATCAACAAGATCTCCGTATTTGAGTCCCCGTCTTATTTTTACCGACTTAGCTCGTCACCCTGAGCATTTGTACTGCTACCGATGTTTACTCCAGGGAGTTAAAACCTGCTGATAATCCTAATATATCCTCTTGAAGATATAAATATTTCAAAATGAAGCACAGTAACGTTTTGAAAATCACTGTTTATAATGACTCATTCTATATGTGTTTGTTGTTGTAGTCTAGATCAACTACATAACTTTTCATCACTTTTAAATAGTTGGCTTTGCACTTCTTTTAAATTTATAAGAATGTTAGAATATACCTTTACATGCTTGACTTATGCGGTTACCGACTGGTCGTTTTTTTTTTTTTTTTTTTTTTTTTTTTTTTTTGTTTTTTTGACGACTGATCTGTTGTAACAGCACTATTTTTTACCATAAAACTAATATCACAATTTTCAAACATGCTATTGACTTCGCTACATATAGTATTGACGGTATGTGAGGTGCTTTAGTGAAACTGAGAGGGC